CATTTCCCCCCATATGTTCTTTGAGAGTATGATTGAGTGTCAAACTTGTATATGTATCCCAATACCTAGGGCTTTGCCCAGAATATAATAGCTGTCTCTCACATGTCCATCAAATTTAATAGATACCAAATATATTTCGAACTGAGAATTCTTGGCCCTTGAATTAAGATCTGGTGATTATTTAAATTTCTTTTTTAAAAAATATATTTTATTGATTTTTTACAGAGAGGAAGAGAGAGAGATAGAGAGTTAAAATATCGATGAGAGAGAAACATTGATCAGCCGTCTCTTGCACACCCCCTACTGGGGATGTGCCTACAACCAAGGTACATGCCCTTGACTGGAATTGAACCCGGAACCCTTCAATCAGCAGGCAGACACTCTATACACTGAGCCAAAAATGGTTTTGGCTAAGTTTCTTTAAATATTCTTTCGAGCTGGGTTTCAAGGACAAGAGAGAATATCAAAGTGTGATTGAGTAAAACTAGACCAGGCCAAGAGAACTCCTTGGGAAGTATTGCTGATCTTCCAGTAGATCTGCCTTTGGGAGAGTCAAAGAGGGCCATTCACTTCATGTGAATTAAGTCATGTAAGTAAACTTCTGCCTGGTCAAGGTCTGAGTTAGCCACAACATACAATTATTGGAGCAAGTTTTCAAAACCATGGATCTCAAAATTAATTGCTAATTAGGTTATTTATTTATTGTCTTACTTTATACAAGAGATAAAAGATGAGGGTTGTCTGATGAAGCAAAATAATTCCTGAGCATCTGCTTTGTACAGATTAACAAATTTACAATTCAAACCAATATTTTGGGATGGGTTGCATTATTCCTGTTTTACTGATAAGAGGCCCTTGAGCAGTTAAGTGAGGGGCCCACAGGCACATAACTTGTACGTGGTGGACCCATGAGTCACACCTTGTCTACAAGACTCTGAAGCCCACCGTCTTTCCACTGGAACCCTCTTGGTGCAAGAGCTCAATTTTGCCTTGTAAATGTTCTGGCCTCTCAAGTGAATTGGAATGGCCAGAACAAAACATAACATAACAAAACAAAAGCAAACAACCAGTCCCTTCTCAAAAGCACTGTTTTCTGCAGCCCTGGATCTCCTTTCCTGAGAACCAGGACTGAGACGGGAAAAATAAACGATTCCTTGGCATGAAAAAGGGATTAGTGGGAGGGAGATTCTACCTATGCTTTCTGAAGCCCACTGAGTTTTGCTACCTGGGTAGCTTGCCACTGCAATTATTTGGGATAGCAAAACTGTAATATCAATCAATCTCAGTGCAACTGCTTTGCCATGAAATAGGAGCAGGCCAATTTATCAAAATTGAGGCTCTCCACTGGGCTTATATCACCATTAAACTATCAACAGGAAATCATTAAGGTGAGGCAAGAAACCAACTGGTAACTGAAAAGAAGTGATTTTTTTAAAAACATCTTTGCATGTAACCTTCTTTGTTTGGCTGTCAGCAAAGTCGACATGGGGCTGGGTCTCAGATCTTTGTGTTAACGTGCAGTTGGTGGCAGAGAGAACTCAGATGTAGGCATTTGCAATGCAATGGCTGTGCCCAGGTTACTTGGTTCTCTCTCAGCAGGGCAAGCTGCATGACGATAAATAGGGGGAAAATGTGTATGCATTTGTGCGATAAAATAGGCTTAATGATTCTGAAGGGGAAAGAGTCCATGAGACATACAGTAGCAACTTAGGAACAAAATGGAACCATGCAGGGCCAATTAATGTGCAAATACGTGTGTGCTGAACTTGCATTCCATTCATCATGTGGACATGGAAATTGGGCCATTTATCTGTTATATTATGTATGTGACATCTTAGTTTGGTTCTTACAGGCTGCTCGGGGACAAAGGGCCATGTGCTTTGCTGCTAGCAGAGGGAATTTTAGATAAATTCTTCAGCTGTCATAAACATCACTGGGCAGAATTTGGTCAGAAGATAAAGCTCTTTCCTCTGCAGGATTTGAACATTTCTCAGTAGTCCATGTGCCATCTTATTAAAACTGTGTGTGGTGCATATGCCATGAAAAATTATTGGCACAAACAGCTTGCTGTCATGTTTTCAAAGTCCAGATTTAGCAAACGTTATTCACATATTCACTGTCAATCTGCAGAGAGAAAGGGAACTGGCAAAGCCATTCTTCCTTGCTGATTCTGTGGGTTTGCAATTCATCTTGCCTCCCTTTACCCAGTGTTTCCTCCACAGGTGGGGTTTGTTCTGCTTAAATTACAACTGTTTGTCTATACTTAGAAGGAAAAGAAAGGAACCTGAGAAGGAAAAGGACCCCACAGAAGCACTTCTCCAGAGCCACTATTATTTACCTAACAGAACCTGCCATGAATATGGATCATGCACTAAATAATGGTGATTGCTTTCTTTGATGAATTACCATTAGAAATTTAATTAATAAAATGTTACTTCCCTGTAGTAGTGCCAAAAAAATATGGTCTCAGCTGCAGCAATTGCAATTCAGCTTTATAAACATCTAGAGGCCCAGTGCATGAAATTCATGCACTGGAAGAGTCCCTAGCAGCTTCCAGCTGTTGGCCAGGGCCTCCCTCCCTTCCCCTGGCTATCTCCACCACCTGGTTGAACTCCCAGACAACTCCCAGTCAAGGGTACAATTTGAATACTATGCTTTTAGTATATAGAGTGGTTAAGAAAAAGAAAAAGTTGGGGTGATTTTTAACTTGCTCTATCTGGAAAATGGGATTCTGGAGTAAAAATGAATGAATGGTTATTTTTGACCTGCAAGTATTGTCTCTATACTGAGCATTGCTATACTTCCTCATTCCCTCCATACCACCTGTTCATCTTCCTTGTTCATTATCTTGTTTGATACTGTTTTGTGTCTGTGATTCTTCTTTTTTTTTGCAAGCAGCTTTATTTTTTTTTCTTATATACAAACTAGAGGCCCAGTGCATCATGCTCAGCCTGCACCCTCTCCAATCCAGGACCCCTCGAGATCAAGCCTAAACCAGCAGTCAGACATCCCTCTCACAATCCTGGACAGCTGTTTCCTAATCATTCACCTGCCTGCCTGCCTAGTTGCCCTTAACTTCCCCCCTTGCCAGCCTGATTTCCCCTCACTGCCTCTGAGTGCTGGCCTGATTGCCCCTAACTGCCCTCCCCACAGACCTGGTTACCCCTTACTGCCCCTCTGCCAGCCTGGTTGCCCCAAGCTGCCACCCCCTGCCATGCTGGTCACCCCCATCTGCCCCCCTCCTGGCCTCCTCACCTCTCATTGCCCCCCCTACCAACCGAATCGCCAACTGCCCCCTCTGCTTGCCTGGTTGCCCCAAACTGCCCCTCCTGACAGCCTGGTTGCTGCTCATACCCCCAAGCCCCCGCTGGCCTGGTCGCCCCATGCAGCCTACTTGTTCAGTCATTTGGTCGTCCCTCACTAATGACCTGGGCATAGGCAGCCATCTTGGGAGGGGATGAGGGTTAATTTGCATATTACCTCTTTTTTATATAGGATCACCTAATATAAAGCACATCCACCTTATGAGTAGCACTATACATTTAACATGTGATGGTTATCTATGCAACCACATCCAGATGAAGGTGCTGCATATTCCCCATCACCCAATAGGTTCTCTTGTGCCTGACACAGACATAACCTTTATTGTTACTTTTATCACCAGACAGGAGTGTTTTTGCAAATGTGTGTAAATAAAACTATACAGGATGTGTTCTTTTCTTCTGAAATTTTTTACTAATACTTCTGAGATTCATACAGGCTGTTACATATATCTATAAACAATTTTTTTTATTGTTGTCTTGAATTGCATGAATATACTGCTATTTATTGACCTATTATCCCCTTAATTGGGAATTTGGTTTGTTTCTACTTTGGGGCTGTGATAAATAAGGCTTCTATGAAAATTATTACATATATTTATGGGTAGATATAAGCAGTCATTTCTCTTGGGCACATAATTAGGAGTAGAATTGTTAGATAATTAAGCACTATTTTCCCAATATTTAAAGTATTTCAATTCTCCAAAAGTTCATTTTAAAATCTGAAAAAAAATGGTTATAACAAATATCCTGTTTTCTAACATTGAAAAGAGGCAACATATGTAAAGGTGTTCAATTGTTGACTGATTGCTTTAAAAAGACAAATGTGGCACAAATATGAGATTTCCTGGGGGAGAGGGAAGATTGTAGGGAGTGGCAGCTGTCCGTGGTTCTGACCACAGTGCCTGAGACCTATTCTATTCTGATCTAGATTCCAGCAATCAGGCCTTAAGGAGGCGAGGAGCTAACATTTATTGCACACCCACTATGCACCAAGCCATGATCTGAATGAGACCTGGCTCATATTTTGTTATGCAATGAATGTTGAAATCCTAACCCCCAGTGTGATGGTATTAGGAGAGGTGACCTTTGGGAAGTAATTAGATCCTGAGAGTGGAGGTGTGGTGAATAGAATTAGTGCCCTTTAACAGAAGTGAATTTTCTACCTGTTCTTCCTTTACAATTCCCAATGTATGGTCACCTTGCTGGTGACTTCCAACTAGCAACTATTAAAAATTCTTTGCCTATGTTTTCAGCATCACCCATAGTTTTCTTCATGCCCCGAGGATGCTCAGGGAGAGGAAAAAGAGGGGGAACAGAAAGCACTAAAGACAGAGGGAAGAGTCACTACCAAAGCAAAGGCTTGTCTCAATGGAGCAAGAATCCTATCCAGTATACAGATAGACCCTGAGGCCACCATGACAGCAATGAGCAGGAGACCCAGCTGGGAGACCATTAACTGTCTTTACCAAGCTACTCAGCACACACTCCACCATGAAATCCAGCACAGCGGCCAGGTTAGCCCCAAACCCAACAACACAGGAAATACCAGGTGAGAGCGCAGCATCCAAACCGCCAGAGGTCACACAGAGGAGTTATAGCCAGACACCGATTTCCCCGAAACCCCAAAGAAACCATTCAAAATGCCCTCCAAAGTGACAGAAAGACCTCATTTCCTACCTCGGTATTGCTGGCAGCCAGGCTTGCTGAATCCTGCAAGTTAAAGAAAACAAAGACATTAGGATTGATTCGACAAGAAGGTAATTGGATTAATTGTCTTTTTAAAGGAACTGGCATCAATAATTTGTTTTGACCTGAGGGGACAATGGGTACCACACACACACACACACACACACACACACACACACACACACACACACACAAACACAGAGGCACTTTTGCTTCTACCAGGCAGAGCAATAAAATTTGTTTTTCTGATCCTGTGTTTAAGGTGAAGAGGATAATTAATATTTTTAACACATTATAAAAATCTTGCCAGGAAAAAAGGGGAGGGCCGTATGCAATGCCCATGCACTGATGATGATTAAGTGAAAACTGAGAAAGCAAAAACACTGAAGACATTTTTGAGGGTGTCTTTTTCCTTATTTTTTTTTTTTTTTTTTTTTTTGTTGATCCTCACCAGAGGATATTTTTTTCCATTGATTTCTAGAGAGAGTAGAATGGAGGGAGGAATGGAGAGAGAGAAACATTGATGTGAGAGAGATATAGAGAGGTTGCTTCCTGCACGTGCCCCACTGGGGTCAGGGATTAAACCTGCAAGCCAGGTATATGCCCTTGACTGGGAATCAAACCTGTGACTTTTGATGTGAGGGCTGATGCTCTAACCACTGAGAACACTGGCCAGAACTTCCTTTAAAGTTTTGAGTCAGTTTATGAAAAGGTAGAACTGCTAATTACAGCCTTCTTTTTTTTTTCACTATACATACAGATTTGTGCAACCAAGACTAGTGCCTGACAATGTGTCAAATTTTAACATTTATTGTCTCATTTAATCCCTGGAACAACTTTTATTACTCCCATTTCATAGGTGAGAAAATTGGGCTTAGACCATTTAAATCATTTCATAAAGCCCAGAAAGTTAATCATTAGAGGAAATTAGTCTTAAACCCAAGATAAAGACATGTAGGCTCAGACTTGTATTCATAGTCCATTCTGTATCAAAGGATTTGCTGTGGACACCGTCCACCATTGCTCACATTACCCAGAAGGGATCTCCTGGCTGGGGCAGATAACTTATTGTCTTGCAACTTTCTTATACCTTGGGTTGACCTGGCATATATTTCTACCAGACCACTATACATGGAATTGTCCCTCGTTCATAGTTTATGAAACTCTGACCCCATATGTGGTGGTATGTAGAAATGGGACCCTTGGGAGGTAATTAAGTTTAGAGAAGGTCATAGGGCAGGGACCTCATGATGGGATTATTGTTCTATCCAAAGAGACACCAAACAGTGCTCCATTTGCCTCCAGTTCCTCCTTCTCTCCCCCTGAGTGCACTGAGGAAAGATCATATGAGGACACAGAAGGGAGGGGGCTACTCAGAGCCAAAGAGAGGCTCTCACCAACAACCACCCTGCTGGCTCCTTGATTTGGACTTCTGGTTTCCAGAACTGTGAGAAATAAATTCCTATTTTCTAATCTGCCCAGTCTCTGGTGCTCTGTCAGGGCAGTCCAAGCTGACAGAGACAGAGACAGAGACCAGTGCACGCTCACAGCGGTGTTTGCAGCAGAGGCCCTAGGAAGGTATGGTTTCCTGAGTTAGCCAACCTATACCTCACACTGGCCACCCTCCCAGCACCACCTCTCTCAGTTCACTTCACAGTTTCAGATCAGCCTTAACCTAAACCATTAGCCCCAGAGGCAGCTCAGATGGAGCCTGCTGCCCACGGGGCAGCTTTCATGCACCATTAGCTTCCTAAACAGGAGGCCAGCCTTCAGACTGACCTTGGCCAAGAAAGTCCATTAGCTATGGCTCGAGGCTTGCCATGCCATGAATCCAGGAGGCAGGCTGGAAAAACACTCCAGAGTGTGATGAATGTCAGGGTCCTAAGACTACACCCCTCCCCTTCTCCTCTGCACCCCATTCAGAGCTGGGGTTGGGATAGCAAGCAGCTTATTCCCAAGCAATTGTTTGTGTATGAGATTTCCCTGCTGACAACTAACAGGAACATGGGATGGACAGTGTGATATTCAGCAGCTATAGGTCATAAGCAGGAGACTCTCCCTGTGTCCAGAGCACCTGTGTGACAGTTCTTCATGGACCTCTCTGATTTCCTCCACTTAATAATCTTATGCATTTTCAGATGTGTGACCTCTTTCATTCCTCTCCCCACCCTTCCCACTCCCCACCACCCATTAAGCAAGCCCAGGTATTGCATATACCTTAGGTAAATGAAAACAGAGAGGCCTGAATATGGCTATTCATTGTTCATGATAGCAATACCTTCCTTAAATTTTTAAAAATATGTACAGAAGCAAATAATAGCTAGAATATAGGGTTTGAGCTCTCAAAATAATAAAAGTGTATAAAGCAGGCTACCTATAAAATAGTAGAGAAGGTTGGGCCTGTGTGCAAGTTTGATTGCTTACTCTACCTAAAAACATTTGCATTCAGTTTATAATAGGCAACATGTGATTCTAGGCAAATGAAACACATATGTAAGTCCAGATGTGGCTGTTGGTTTTCCAATTTGTGATCCTGTAAGTCAAACAGATTATGATACATCATATTATAAATATTATGCAGCAGTTTGAATGGAGTAGATCCTAATGTTTTGACATGAAAAAATTCTACAACACATATTGCTAACAAGAAGATATAGAACAGTACACACACATCAATTGGTGTGTTCAATATGCTCTCCAACTGGGGATCAAACTGCAACCCCAGTATGTGCCCTGACCGGGAATTGAATCTGCAATATTTTGGGGTGCATGGGACAACACTCAACCAACTGAGCACTGACTGGGCAGGAAAAGTCTTGAGAGACTTTTTCTTTCTCTGGATTATTTGAATTTTTCATTGAGAATGTACCCATGTATTACTTGTCAAATTGAACATGTATTTAAAATAAGATATAAATAAAGCTATCCAGGTCCTCAATATTAATAAGGAACTTTATAGGAATATTGGCTTTTACTCATTCAAGAAGAGACTGAAAACAACTTTCTTACCCACTCATATCTGTATTTATAGAGATACAGAGTAGAAGATGACACAGAGCATATGGTACAATAGGGAGTAGTAGGGCTTGTGGCCAATGGGAGATATATCATATTTCACTTATGGTTTACAGTTCTACATATTAGATACTTCTTTGAAAAGCAAGTAGTGAGAGTTACTGGACCCTCCATATACTGTATTGGGATTGATTGTATTATAGTCATGATTATGTTAGATCCACTTCCAATAAGCTCAGGGCTGGTTTAGGAAGGTGGCACTAACAGAGTTCAGGCCTGTCTGTGATCCACCGTGGCATCTGAGGCAGCCAGGATGGACTGTAGAGGTAGCCAGTGGAGTGAGGGCTCTTTAAGGCCTGCAGGTGCCAGGCTAAGGTGTTTGGCTTTTATCTTGTCAGCAGCAGCAGCCATCAGAAGGCCTCCCGCGGGGGCTGACATGATTAGAGCCACGTTTGAGGTGGCCGTTCTGTGGAACAGTGCAAGGCACACGGGGATTCAGGAAACTCCTGGCAGGACGCCCCTTAATGCTTTGTGCCAGTGGTTTCCCTTCCCTTTAATCATTTCCTTCCTCTTCGCTAGGCTTGTTTGAAATTGCAAAGGCCAACATGAAGGGTTTCCTCCTCGCTTATGCTAGGAAGTTGGTATGTGTAGCTCAGCGCTGCCTCGCCTGCCACTTTTTCAGATGGGGAAACTGAGCTTTCTTCTCCTGAGGCCATACTAGGGAGGGTCATAGACAGGGCCTAAACCCAGGTCAGTCTCCAAAACTGCCTTCAAAGTCTATCCAGGGATTTTGCTCACACAATGGAGAGATGGTTTCCCTCCTGGGACTTCCCACAAGTTAATAGACATCAGGACTGAGTTCATTCATTGCTAGAGGTGCCGCCTCTGCTCATGCAAACCCAGTCAGTCTCCTCTACACCTGTGACTGAGATGTTAAATACCATCTGGGCTCCATTGCCCCAAACTCTCCAGTCTTCTGTGCTGAGCATGTTGGGGTACAACTCTCTTACTTTTGTGAAGATAAGGGGTCAACAGGTCTTTTTTGTTTGCATGAGATAGAAACAACTCAAAATAGCTTAAGGATACCATTGGATTTTATTAGCTCATTCAACAGATCGAGCTCACTTTACATGGATCCAGATACGAATCAAATCTTACTTCTCTGACAAGTAGAAGAGCAGGGAATGGAACCCAGGTCTCTATGATTAAATGAAGGCCCAGACTCAGCAGCAATCCCATGCAAAAATCCAGGAACACAGTAATTTTCTTGGTTTCCTGGCTAGATGTCACCCCATTCTGACCTCATTGAGTGATGACATTCTTTGCCTTCCTCTCCTCTCATCCCCTCCCTTCCTCCAGGATTAAAGGAAGGGTGTTACCAGGGCTGTGCTGATGATGTCAAAGTGCCCTGCCAGGCAGAAGATGGAGTAATCATATTCCTCCTCACACACTACCCTGTTAGGCCTTCAGATTTGTGTCCACATCCACAAATGGCACTGCTGTTATTTGCTGTCAGTGTCACCTAAATTCCAAGTAGAGAGGCCTGTGAGGATGCTATTCATGAGTCTGGGAGATTGCTTCTATGGATAGTTTTTTAAATGAAAGCGTTAAATCCTCATGCTGTATAGTCAAACGTATGGTTTTTGCCAGGCTGCCTAGTTGTCTTGAGGTTAGACGAGTTTTTTGTGTGTATATATATATATATATATATATATATATATATATATTATTGATTTTTTTTTTACAGAGAGGAAGAGAGAAGGATAGAGAGTTAGAAATCGATGAGAGAGAAACATCGATAAGCTGCCTCTTGCACACTCCCCACTGGGGATGCGCCCGCAACCAAGGTACATGCCCTTGCCCGGAATCGAACCTGGGACCCTTCAGTCTGCAGGCTGATGCTCTATCCACTGAGCCAAATCTGTTTCGGTTAGATGAATTTTTTTATGAAAAGATCCAACCCAGAACAGCACCAACATGGAGTCTTGCTCTTTCTACCAATCCTCCTT